AAAAAAAAAAAAAAAAGCCTGGCTACCATGGCTTATGCCTATAATCCCAACACTTTGGGAGGCCAAGGCGGGAGGCCAAGGCAGGAGGATCACTTGAATCTGGGATTTCAAGACCAGCCTGGGCAACATAGTGAGACCTTGTCCCTACAGAAAATAAAAAATAAGCCAGGTGTAGTGGCATATATCTGTGGTCCCAGCCACTCAGAAGGCTGAGGTAGGAGGATGATTTCAGCCAGGGAGATTGAGGCTACAGTGAGCCATGTTTACACCACTGCAGTTGTGATCACCATCATCCAGCCTGGGTGACACAGAGAGACCCTCTCTCGGGGAAAAAAAAATGCAGGGAAGATTGAGTCCTACTTTGGGAGAAAAAAGAAACAGGTGAAAGGAGGGCAGAAGGTCAGAAAGATTCTGTTTTCTAAGACTTGCTTTGCTTCTGAGGCTTACAGTGCCTCAACATTATAGCAGAAAACTATGACAAGGACTACAGGAGTTATGAGCCAGGAACTGTGGACAAAAAACAAACAAACAAAAAACCATATATAGCAACCCCACGTCTCCCTCCCCAGTTATATATAAGAAAGTTCTGGTAATCACATACTTTTACCTTCCCCACTTTTTGTTTTTGAGACAGTCTTGCTCTGTTGCCCAGGCTGCAGTGCAGTGGAACACTTATAGCTCACTGCAACTTCAAGCTCCTTTACCCCCTCACTTCTTAATCATTATATTATACTGCCTTTGCTCTAGTAGTAAATATATTAGTTTACCTGTTTCAGAGTCCATGTCTGAAGACTGGAACCACTGCCACCTGACCCACTGCCCAGAGTCTTCATGAGGGATTCTTTTTTTTTGAGACAGAGTCTTGTTCTGTCACCTGGCTGGAGTGCAGTGGCACGATCTTGGCTCCTGGGTTCAAGCAATTCCCTTGCCTCAGCCTCCCAGGTAGCTGGGACTACAGGTGCGCACCACCACGCCCGGCTAATTTTTTGTATTTTACTAGAGACAGGGTTTCACCATGTTGGCCAGGATGGTCTCGATCTCCTGACCTCATGATCTGCACACCTTGGCTTCTCAAAGTGTTGGGATTACAGGCATGGACCACTGTGCCCTTCAGAGGTTTCTACCCTGAGGTGGTGTTGGATGGGGAGCTACGGCTTCAAGTGAAGGGAAGTTTCATAGGTAAAAAAGCCACATCTCCCAGTTTGGGGAACCTCTCAGTTCCCCAAAGAGTATAGACGGCCTGTAGTCCCTCAGAGAACCCACACAGGGCAAGACCCTGTCCTGCCTCAGAGCAGGAAGGGAGATTGGGTATGGTTGAGCAGGGCTCACATTAGCCTGATTCCTTCAAGAGTGAAGCTGGGAGATAGCAGAGGGGCCAGTACCTTTTATAATTATTGTTAGGTTCTGAATGCCAGCCTTGGGGCTCAACATCTTACATGTTGTATTTGACCTAATCCTCAAAACAACTTTAGGAGGCAGATGTGCTACAGCAAAGGAAGTAGAAACCCAGAGAGTTTGGTAACTTGCTCAAGGTCTCCCAGCCAGTAAGGGGCCAAGCTTGGAATGGTGCTAACTCTGCCTAGGGCAACCCGCTGCCTCTCCCATTACAAGGAATGGTAGTTTAATAATAGCTTACATCTGTGTCGCACTTCAAGGTTCACAGAGTGCCTTAACACCCATTATCTCCACTGTGCCTCGGGAACCCTATGTGGTGAGGCCTTCCACGCCCCTTTGGGATAGCTGCCTGTCAGGGGTCCAGCCTCCGTTCATTACCCCCAGTAAGCACTGGAGATTCTTTGGAATTGGCTCTGACAAGCCAGGGAGAGGCTGAGGTGGAGCGGCTTGGCCAGTTGCTATGGTAACCCAGATGGCTGAGTAACCATTTTGAGGGTTGCTATGGTGATGGGCTGCTGGTGGCAGGGATCCTGTCTTCCTGGGTGGCTGGCCTCCAGGCCACTTAAATTTAGATGTTGCACTTTCTGAACAGAAGAGGGCAGCATGAGAGCAGGCAAAGGCTTCTTACCCCAGAGCAGATTTGGGAACTTGAGGCAAAGCTTATAAAGTGTTTCTAGGCTGGGCACGGTGGCTCACGCCTATAATCCCAGCACTTTGGGAGGCCGAGGGGGGGGTGGATCACGAGGTCAAGAGATCGAGACCATCCTGGTCAACAAGGTGAAACCCCGTCTCTACTAAAAATACAAAAATTAGCTGGGCATGGTGGTGCACGCCTGTATTCCCAGCTACTCAGGAGGCTGAGGCAGGAGAATTGCTTGAACCCAGGAGGCGGAGGTTGTGGTGAGCCGAGATCCTGCCATTGCACCCCAGTCTGGGTAACAACAGCGAAACTCTGTCTCAAAAAAAAACTGTTTCTAGGAGCTGGGCAGAAAGGGAATTTTGGCTGGGATTGGCTAAAGCCTGTACCCAAGAGGCTGGTGGAGCTGCACTTCTGAGACTAGAACTAGGTAATTTTCTTCCAAGAACTAGCCAAAGGATAACACTTGGGGCTGCCCCTTCAGTGCCTGGCATCAGCTACTATTGGGGAATATAAAACACACAGCAGACAGCTACCCTTGCAAGAGAGAATATGTGCACTTGTGTGTGTGCAAACACTCACTACCAGCAAAGAATTTCTTTCTTTCTTTTTTTTTTTTGAGATGGAGTTTTGTTCTTGCTGCCCAGGCTGGAATGCAATGGATTTTGGCTCACTGAAACCTCCGCCTTCTGGGTTCAAGCGATTCTCCTGCCTCAGCTTCCCAAGTAGCTGGGATTACAGGGACCCACCACCACCCCTGGCTAATTTTTTGTATTTTTGGTAGAGACAGGGTTTCACCATATTGGCCAGGCTGGTCTTGAACTCCTGACCTCAGATGATTGGCCTGCTTCGGCTTCTCAAGGTGCTGGGATTACAGGTGTGAGCCACCACACCTGGCCTAATAATTTCTTTATAAAGCATCAATTAACACAAAAAATAATGCAGCATGAACCAAAGTGAAGAAGAGCTGGGAATAAACTTTCTAGAGGTCGAGGAAGGAGCACGAGCAGAAAGAGAAATAATTTTTTACTTCCCTCTTTCCTCCCTACACATGAAGTGCCCTCAACCCTTGACCACTGAGTGGACATTGAATTGGATTCTCAATTGTCTTGAATCACAGATCTGGCTCCCTCCCCGACCCCCATATGAGTTCAGTGAGGCATCCATTCCTTCAGCAAATATTTATTGAACATCTACTATGTGCAAAGTATTCTGTTAGGCCCAGTGATAAAGAAAAATGAAATAGATGTCTTTGCCCTCAAGAACCTATGAAGTAAGAGATTAAGGAGGCAGTGATACAGACATCCACAGTACATGTACCTATAGTTCAAGACCAACATAATGAGACCTTGTCTCAAAAAAATATTTTTTTAAAAGCCTGGTGCAGAGGCTCACAACTGTAATCCCAGCACTTTGGGAGGCTGAGGCAGGCAGACTACTTTAGTCCAAGAGTTTGAGACCAGCTTGGGCAACATGAGGAAATCCTATCTCTACCAACAGTACAACAATTAGCTGGGCATGGTGACATGTGCCTGTAGTCTCAACTGCTGATGGGTTGGCTGGTGGGGGTGCTGAAGCAGGAGGATTGCTTGAGCCTAAGAAGCAGAGGTGTCAGTGAGCCGAGATTGCACCACTGCACTCCAGCCTGGGTGATAGAATGAGACACTGTCTCTAAATAAATAAATAGAAAAAAAATTCATGTCATTTGGGGTGAACTTTCAAGGTAGATTTCAATAGGTGGAGTTGGGGGATGGGACATTCTAGGAAAAGGCTCAGAATTTGATTATAGGGAAAGAAGGTACACAGGAGGGTGTCATAGATCAGCCTGAAAAGGAAGATAGATATCTAAATATGGAAAACTTGTAATGCCAGCCTTAGATAAGGGAGGCTGTGAGACAAACATTCTCTCTCCTTAAATACTCTAGCCTTCCAGCTAGTCAGTAGTCACAGCCAGCCAATATTTTAGGATCATCTGGTTCACTCATTCATGCATTTAATAAAAAATTTAGGCCAGGTGCAGTGGCTCATGCCTGTAATCCCAGCACTTTGGGAGGCTGAGATGGGCAGATTACCTGAGGTCAGAAGTTCAAGACCAGCCTGGCCAACATGGTGAAACCCCATCGCTGCTAAAAATACAAAAATTAACCGGGTGTGGTGGCAGGCACCTGTAATCCCAGCTACTCAAGAGGCTGAGGCAGGGAGAATTCCTTGAATCTGGGAGAGGGAGGTTGCAGTGAGCTGGGATCACACTATCGCTCTCCAGCCTGGGCAACACAGCAAGACTCCGTCTAAAAAAAAAAAATTTAAACAACTATACAAATGTGTGTGTGTGTGTGTGTGTGTGTATGTATGTGTATATTTTTAGAGACCAAATTTTGCCATGTTGCCCAGGCTGGTCTTGAACTCCTGGGCCCAATCGATCCTCCTGCCTTGGCCTCCCAAAGTGTTGGGATTACAGGTGAATGAACCAAAGGTCAAAGGTGAAGAAGAACCACCAAGAACAGCATTAAAGAATAGTTAATGAGTCCCTTGTATGTGCCAGATCATTTGCTAGGTGCTAAGGATCCTGTGGTCAGTAAGATGACAAACAGCCCCAGCCCTCACGGGGCTTACGATTTAGTTTGGCTAAAATACCTTGTACCATAACTTCAAGTGCGATGAGTGTTACCAAAGGGTAGAGGAGGACCTATTAATTGGAGGAGGGGGGGTCAAGGAAGGTTTCCCCCTGGGGAGTTTCAGCAGGAGCATGGGTAGGAGTGAGCCAGGCCAAAGGAGACGACCTATGAAGGTTATAGTCTGGGAAGAAAGCAAGTGGGACGGCCCTGAGGCGAGATAACACATTTGAGGAGCTGAAAGAAATAGAAATTGGCAGGACTTTAGGGAGGGGGGCATTTGATGAGGCTTTAGTTGGGAGGACACCAAAGATAAAGGGCTTTAATTTCCTTGTATTACCCTTCTCCTCCACTAGATGCCCTTCCGAGTACATTCTTCTGCTTCCCCCATTGCAGCCTTCTTAGAAATGCAGCAGCAGTCTCACCCATCAGGAGCAAAAGAAAATCAAAGACCAAAAGGAGAAAGGCTCAGAGCTTTTGCGACTGTGTGGTCTGGCTATAAATTTAGACTGTTGCTTGAAAGAAGCGAAAAACCTCCCCTTCATAAACTTCCTTCTTCCCATCCCCCGGCAGCCGCTTTGTTCCTCTAGCCTTGTAAAATTTTCTCTGTAATAAAACAGGAACATCAGCCAAACATGTGGACTTCCCCACTTTCCATTCATTAGAAGAATGCATTATTTCAAAATCTCCTGGGAGCATTTAAATGCAAATTTGGTCAAGAAAGCAATTTGAGTTTCAGAGAACCCCTTTAGCCACAACCCAAAGCAGGTTTTTTTCTTTGATTTCTGTGTTTCTTAATAGGAATCTCAACTCTTGCCTTCTCCCCGCAACTCCCCCCTCCCCAGGTCTTCTCTGATTCTCACAGCAGACTCTTCCCCTTTTTGTCCCTGTTCTTTCTTCACCTTTGGCAAGCATCAGCCACTCATCTTGAGGAACCTGCTCACAAAGTGGCGCGTGTAGCAGCCCCAGGAGGGAATGGAGGGACTTTTCTATGTACTGTAATGGACCTGAGGAGGCAGATGTTTGTGTGGGGGCGAGATGTCTGTGTGGAGGTGTTTTTATTTGAGATTTTTGTCTGGGCCCTCTTAGCCCTGCTGGTATAAAATAACATGGGAAATGTAGATGACTCAGCACTGACACAGTCAAGATCCTCAGAGTTAGCATTTCTATCTTCTCTGCTGTTTACGAAAAATGTGCTTGTGCCATCAATCAGCAACTCATCCTGCATTTCCCACTAAAAGCCTTTTACTGAAAAATAAATATAGTTCAAACTTATTCCCCTTCTTTTTGCAAACTGAGCTCATTAGTAGCTGACACCTAAGTGAGAACTAGTTGTTTTTGTTTTGTTTTGTTTTGCACAGAGGATTAAACTGGAAGGAAATGAGCATTTGTCTGAGGATCCTCCCTGTCCTCCTTTAAGCCCTTCCCTGCATGATCTCCATGCCTACAACTTAGGTAGGCCAGCAAAATTTGATGGGAAAAGATATGATTAATGACTTGCTCACCTGATTTCTGATCAGGGTGTGATGTGGAAACTAGCAGTGTGCACCTATTACTGAGAAGCATCATTTTTTTTTCTTGTTACGAATGTGCTGAGCATTGACCAAAATATTTGGCACTACTCACAATGTACTAAGACACCTTTCCTAGCCTGGGGTTAAGAAGTCTCACCTTCAAATTCTTGAGAATGGGAACTGGAATAGAAGCTCAAATCCCAATTTTGGCTGCTCCGTGTTGCATGAATTCTTTTTTTACTTGCTAATGTGCCCTTATCGTGAGATGAGCCAATGTAACTTCTTACCCACAACCACCTCTCCAGACCTCCTGAAAAATCAAGTTAACAGGGGAGGATAATGGCTGAATGGGGGGGTGGTGGGCAAAACGTGTCCCCTACGTTGACCAGTTTTTCATTCACTGCTCGTGGCTCCAGTGCACTCCATGAATATTGGGATTGAATGATACACAACTGAATGTTGGATCAGATGATGTTGGGAGCTCTGTCCTCAAAATGGCCCCCAATAAATCCCTACCCATATTTTCTAGTTTCCTTTCTTTACTCTTTTTTTCCCCCTGATGACAAAGAATTGGCTTCCCCTTTTCTTCCCTGACCAGCTATGCTCCAGAGTCCATCCTTTGTTCCCTAAGAGTCCTGGTTCCGTCTCAGGTTCCCACATTTCTCCCTTCTGAGCTCTGTCTTTCTGTTCAGATGGCTGTCGCGGTTTAATAATCCTGGAGGGTTTATCCCTTACAGATCTATGTCCCCCCGTCTCTCCTCTTATTCACCCCCATGGTGCAGTCAGAATCCCGTTTTCTGGCCTCCCTGGGTTGTCATTTCTCAGGCTCTGGCTCCTTGGCCTGGTTTACTTCACAGTGCTGGATCTGCCCGGTCACTTCTCGTTCAGCTTCTTCTGTTTCTGGAAAACCCTTTGTTCCCGGGATTCTTTGTGGGCTCAGTGTCCTCCGGCCCCACACTGCAGCCCTGTCTGGATCTTGCCCTTGTCCTCGTTCTGACCGCGTCTAGCCCCGGGATCTGAGGCATCGTGTGGTCTTTCGCCCTCTGCCTTCCCTTCTGTTTCTCCAGGTCTTTCTCCAGCAGCCGCACAGGCCCCGCTCGGTTTCCCTCCAGCCAGGGGGCTCCCTCCTTTGTCCCGCTCCCGGCGTAGGTCAGCCCTGACTGGGGCTCCCGCCCGCTCTGTGGAGCCGGCTCGGGTCTCGCAGCCGTTCGGCCGGCCCAGCCTTTCATCCTGACGCGCGGAGCCTCCCACCCAGCGGGACTCCCTCGTGGGCCGGCCTCTCGCGCCCCTCGGCTCGGGCCTCAGTCCGGGCCGGGCGGGGGTTGGCAGACCCTGGGGGACCCGTGTGGGCAGCCCGGGCCCAGCCGGCCGCAGCCCGGGGCCGAGGACTCGCCGGGCCGCGGAGTCGGCGGGGAGAGGGGGCGGGGAGCGGGCCGGGCCTGGCGCTCCTGACAGGAGGAGCCGCCGCCCGCCGTCGCCCGCCGCCGCGGCCGCGCCGGGGCGGGCTGAGGGAGGAGCGGAGCGGAGGGGTGGGGAGGCGGAAACGCGAGCCGGGATCGGCGGAGCGCGAGCTGACCGGGTGCGTGCGGGCTGAGGAGCGGAGCGCGACTGCCGGGCCGGGCGAGCCGGGCGGACAGCTGACGGTGGAGAGCGAGGGCGCCGTCGCCGCCTCCGAGACGCACAAAGGGCCAAGGCTGGGGCCGCCGCCGCCGCCGCCGTCGCCTCAGCGCGTGGGCCTGGAACCGGCAGCCCCCGGGGCTCGAGGAGAGCGCGGTGCGGGCGGCCATGGCCGGCTACGTGCCGGGTCAGCAGCCGGCCAACCGCAGCCAGGAGAAGGAGTTCGTGCAGGCGTACGAGGATGTCCTGGAGCGCTACAAAGGTAGGGCCGGGGGACTGGCCGGCGCTGAGGCCCGCGGGCCGGCGCGGCGTGGCCTTCGGAGCAGGTCGGGTGGGCCGCTGCAGGTGGGGCGGCCGGGCGGGGTCGCACCCACTGCGCGGGGCTTGGCCCTGAGCTGCTGCTTCTCGGGGCCAGTTTATTTAGAGTTGAGCTAAGCCTTCGGAACCCGCTCCCCAGGCAGTCGGCGCGCTCGGAGCGCCAGTTACGTGATTTACCCAATTATCCGGCCCCAGCTGGAAGGAGGCGAGCCCAGGCGCTGGCCGGGAGACCGGCCGCGGTGGGGAGTTGCTGGGGAGGAGGAGGAGTTGGGCGCGGGAGAAGCCACCCATTCTGTTCTGGGTGCGAGTTTCCTCCCTGAGGGGCTCGGACCTCTGCGTACCGGCGGAGAGTCCCTCCCTCGTCCCCTTTTGTCTCCCTGAGTCTCGGATGAGGCTCGTGGAAGCCGAGGTTGGGAAGCACCTTGGTGTTTTCGCGGTGGGGTGGGCAGCGGTGTGGGTGAGTGTGCAGTTTTTGGTGGCGAGGCCTTCCCCGACCCCCATCTCCCCGGGGGTCTGGGCCTGCTGGAGGCTGGGGTCTTTTTTTTTTTTTTTCCTCCAACTTAAGGTTTGCCTTGGAGCTCGGATTTCAGCCCTGAAGGCTCTCTTGCGAGACACTTTTGCAAGTTAATGGCTAATCTGCACCTTGGGTGAATGGGAGAAAGTTTTGACAGACAGAGGGCCCGTGGACTGCATTTCCCTAACTGCTGTAGGTGCCCCTGAGTGGAAGCCAGGGATGCGTGGCTTTGGGAAGCCCTTGTTTCGATCTTTAACATTCGGTTCTGGGATTTTGCTTTGGGTGGCAGTTATGCTTTCCACAGACAGGGAGATTTTCCCAGAAACGACACAGGCAGCACTTTTCCCCGTTTTATTTAGCTCTGGCCCTTGTGGCTAGGCCCTTCGTTGCTTTTCATCTGAAGGAGAGGAAACTTCAGCCCCTATGACTGAGTCCAGCATGCTTGTTTACGACACCTACCCAGTGAAGGGAAACTAATGAAGAAGCTGTAAAACGCCCCCCTACCCCCCCTTTTTTTTTCTTGTGGCGTTAGAACTCTGGGAATGCAGCAGGAAGAAAAATAGACTTGAAATGCGAAAAAGAACCTACTAGGGTTTCTACTTGTTCCCTCTGCATCAGTTCCTGTAAACTGTCCAGCTTTTCCTGCTTACAGCAAGTTTTCTGTCAACCCCCTGTGGTCTTTCTTTTAAGAAATGTGGTTCATTTCAGAGCACAAAGAGGTTAGATTGTGCAGCTGAACTTCATTGAAAAAATGCTGCTCAGTGAATGGTTCCATTAAGTTTCCTTTGCAGGCTTTTGGGCAGCACTGCTCTCTTCTGAGGGAGGAGATACATTGGGACCGTCTTGAGCTGTGACAGCTTCAAACCAGCAGAATTAAGGTCCAAAAACAGGTGAAGAAATCTCAGTACCTCACTGGATGATAGTGCTGGTGACCTCCAGCAGAAAGGAAGTTGGACTCCTAGCAAATGAAACTGGGAAAGAAGGGGGGCAGTAGGGCTTGTTCCAGGAGAGACTTTTTGTTCAGGTTTCTTTTATTTGTTGTTCAGTTTTTTTTTTTAACTGTCTCACTCAGTTTGGCTTTCCTCTGAAGGACTTTGATCAGGTGTGTAGGAACTTAATCCTTCCCAGACACAGGTCTCTTTCTTGAGGGGAGGAATGAGTCAGAAATGGTTGCCCAAAGTAAATTAACTTGAGTTGGAAAAGGTGGTCTTGCAGTCTGCTCTTGAGATTGGTGCAGAACAATCTCTCTTTTCCCCTTGCCCCCTCCACCACTGCTGCACCATTCCCACTGGGAAATTAGAGTGGCTTAGCATCCGGGCCTTTGTTCCTTTGCTGTATGGAATTCCTGCATTTTCCAGACTTAGAAACCCCTTTACTACCTTAATAGGAGAATAGTTTTGTCTAAGCAAAGGAGTGAGCTGGAACCTATAGAGTAACCAGGGGAAGTAGTTTGTGAGGATCATGCCAAGTATTGGTTTTGGAAAGAGATAGGAAAATAGATATTGATGATGGGTGGGGTGTTGTAGATCCTTATTGGCTTGTCACCACATTACTTGGATCTCTTTCTGTTGCTGTTAATTTGTAGTCATCTCAGTCTACAGACAAGCAGGATTTTTTTTCCTCACTGTTGCCCAGGCTGGAGTGCAGAGGCAAAATCTTGGCTCACTGGAA